TTGGTAAACAATTCGAAAAACTGGAAGGGCTTACGCGTTCAAATTCCGCCGGACATCTGTCACAAATGCTGGCGACGGGAACGCTTTGGTTCACGGAGTGCTGTCACTAGAAACTCTTTCTGGCCTTTTGACTTATTGCATTCAACATCTCACTTCTACTGCATCCTATTCTATCGATCGATTTGTCTCTATTCTCCAAAATCGCACGCTTTAACCCGATTCTTTCACGCACTGTCTGATACGTGGCCGCCCCAAGGCGCACTTCTTTTTATACCCTGCCTTTGACTTTGCGCGACCTATTCGACCGTCCATAGATGTGACTTTCGTGAGTTTGTTTCTTTTCGGAAACTGAATCTTCATGCGTGAAACTTTGTATGTGTCTCTAGTGATCACAGCTGACATATTCTGTTGGGAAAAAATGCAAGAATTTTCCGCGAAGGATTCCTAGGAGAGGGGGGAGCCGCACTTAAGCTTTGCTTGTATGCGTCTTCTCGCAGCGAACCAGCGTGCGGTGGGGTATGGCTGGGGTTTTCTATGAATAGACTACCTCGCACACTTCAATTTTCCCAAACAGTGAGTGGCTTCCCCCCATTCAGGCTACTTCTTAATCTCCAACCCATCTGTTTTGGCGTCGGTAAGGCTGAAGGTCAAAAGGAAAATTGCACCTAGTGGGAAGGCAGGTGGACCCCCTAAGGGTGCAAACGATGGGCGTCCCGCAGCGAAAGGTATGCCCCTAGGGTGCTAAGGGCCGTACCCGCGCCACTGCACTCCCACCAATGAGCAGGCTCTTCATCGTCTCGCTCTAGTCGTTTTGGAAAAGAGAGGGTCAGCGTTGGTGGGGACAACACCGATGGATTCGCATCAATGCGGGAATGGGGTCCCATTCCTCAAGTTCTTGGCCATTTTCCTCGCTTTTTTTCATAACTGCACATTCGACCATCTTAACCTTCCTTTTTGATGGTTGGCTTTCCATGCAGAACTTCAAGAGCAGATGGCTCACCAGCCTCAAACTAAGCTACTCGCTGGCTATCTCGCATGAAGAAGATGCAGGGAACACGCGCCGCCGACTGCACCACCTTCCCCACCCCTCGCAGTATGGATGCAGCAAGAGGCCCATCGCGCATAGAGAAGGCAGAGACGCAGCCAGGTGAACGGACGAGTCGAAGCATGTGCTGTGTGATGTGGAACGTACCTCTGGTACCCTATGTATGAAGGATTCCACGACTAGGTTGAAGGTGAAGAAGGGGAAACTTACCTAGTGGAAAGACAAGCGGACTCCCTAAGTGTGGGGACCGACACACAGCTTGCAACGAATGGTACGACCTAGCATGGCCTTCCCCGCTGCGCTATCGGCGTGGTACGCCCACCAACTGGCTAACCACTCGCCGCAGCTCTCTAGCCGTTTAGCAGAGATTGTTAGCGTTGAAGAGGGCAGCACCGACCAGAGTCACATCAGCGCGGAAATGAACGGGCAAAGGAAGGATCCCATCCCTCAGGTCCTCTTATCGAATTTTTCTTCATGCATGATGCGAAATCACTGCAGGAACGCGCTTGGACTCATCCGCTTACCCGACTGCTTCTTTCCTTTCTGAGCCCTCGGAGGGCCTCCTGTCGTGTACTTCAGTGTGCCGGACCCCAGAAAGGGGAGGGTAGCAAAATTTCCGAAAGGTACGAACACGACGAGTGATCCCGGATGGGGCTATTGAGTAAACTGTATGAAAGCTTAGAAAGCTGACCACTTTCTCACCTCAGTAAACTGATGTTCGAGACAAAAATTCTGCTCAACTCATTAATAAAAGTTTTCAAGGAGTCCTTTTAACTTACGCATTGCTAGCACCTTCTTTCGAGGTTGCTGTGTCATTTCTTTGGTTTTTATGTCCTGCACGGAATTCTGTTTCGAATGGTGCGAAGAAGCAGTTGCGAGGTGACCAAAAGGAAAGAGTCCGAGAAAATGAATGTTGACGCAGCCCGTCATCCATCCGCGCTCCTCCCTTTAACTTTATAATATTAGAATTCCCGATAAGTTGTTTTAACGGAAGTTTTCCCTATAAGATCTTATGTTTTCACATAACGATATAAGTGATAGGAAGGAGGAATGCCGCTCCACAAAATACATTATATCTCTCTTATAATCATTACTAACTGACTGAGTTACAAGTTTACAAACTGGGAGTATAGAGTGGGCAGATTTCATTGACTTTGGTAGGGAGAGGGTCATAAATGGGAATTACCCGCGACGCCATGCTGAGCCTGGTTTTTCGACGGAATTCTGTGCAATGCCATGATGGACCCCAGTGTTAACAGCTGAAAAACAACTTTTCGCTTAATTTGTACCCTCTATTTTGGAAAACAAGAAGAACGTCGAGCAGACCACACACCACAAGTGACGACGGCCAAGAAAAAAAGGCTTTTTTTCTTTTCTCTTGGCCGTCGTCACTTGTGGTGTGTGGTCTGCACTCGACGCTCTTCTCGTTTCCCGAAATAGAGGGTAAGCTTATATTCTTCTATAGAGGAGGTCCACAATATCTCTTATCGGTATCTAGAAAACTATATCATAAAAAACCAGAACTGAAAAAAATGAGAATTTGAAAAATTCAACACTGAAAGACGTGAAGGACCATATTTGTTGATTCTTATGTGAGAAAAAAATGGCTCCCCCACTTTCTTCACGATTTGGGGCGCGGCCGCGGCAAACCCGCGGCGTTCGCGGCCGAGTAGTGCGGCATCAGCTTGCCTGAGTATTCGACGTTACATTACGTGTCGTTACGATCGGATGAACTAACACGTAATGTAACGTCGAATACTCAGGCAAGCTGATGCCGCACTACTCGGCCGCGAACGCCGCGGGTTTGCCGCGGCCGCGCCCCAAATCGTGAAGAAAGTGGGGGAGCCGAAAAAAAGGTACACGGAAAATCGCCTCGGCGAAAATTTTCGACCGCTGTCGATGGCATCCTGTGCTCGTGTGTCGGGTCCACGTCCTCCAAGGGGGCCATTTTGGGGTTGGGCAAGCTTATCATAGTGGGAAGTCATTAAAAGGGGTTGTCATTTAGATGGGTTTTTAGGATGAATTTGCCGCTTCATGACATTATAGAAACAGCCATGATGGCGAGGGTGGCGGTCGGGGTAGTTATGGGAGGGATCGTAATGGAGAGCCTCCTAAGACTGATGGTGCTTGCGGGGGTCACATCGAGACCCCCTAAAAGGACTGGGGTCGCAAAATTTTTGAAAAAGTGCGAGCTACGGTTGGCCCTGGGTCCAAGCCTGACCATGCTCCTTCTCTTATCATGGTATTAACCTTATGATCATGTATAGCCCAGTAATGTTCTGTATACACCTACCGCTGCACAGATATAGGCCTGCGCACTTGTAATCTGAGACGTATATCTCGGAAATCCTATAATTCGAGACGTGTACCTCGGGATTCTTTTTCGACATTTTTTGGATCGCCACTAGCCCTCAAAAATTTCATTATTGGTATTGGATATACTGTTTTCCCGATTCGAAAATGCATATGGACAACTTGAAGCATGAGGAGTACCAAATAAAATCGCGAAACGCTCATGCACGTCCGACGCGTTCGCAATGTGTTCATACGAAAGTGGGTTTAACGTCAACATACACGATTTATTTAGGAGGACAGTTCTTGAAGTGTCCTATCACTGTTAAGTTTTGCGATGTTGAAACGATTTCGGTGGTGAGAAGAGAAGTGAAGAAGCCTATTTATTGCAA